TTTAATACAGTCCACAATTATGATACAAAAAACACAAGCATACCTTCATAGCTTTCTGTAACTGCATGGCATCATATTTGGTTGGTGTGTCCATTAGCGCCAGAATGACATCCTCGAAATCGCCGGACAGCTCCTTTTTCAATTCCTCGGACAAATCCTTCCCATATTTATTCTTATAGGGTGTGCGCATCTAAACTTCTGGCTACATTTAAAGCTAAGTTTTCAGATAGAAAATCTGCACCTACATCATTATAATCTTCTGAATACGGAATTACCATTCTAATTATTATGTGTTTCGCATGATCATCAAATGAAGCTTTAGGTGCTTTTAACCAGAAGCTTAGGATCTTTTGTATAAATGTAGCTGTTTTGTGACAAAGCTGCGTTTATGATAAAAGAGCAATACATGATGTTTTTTTTTTTTCTTTCCCGATCCCTTTTTCTATTTTTAAGCTCCCATTATCTTCTGCCCCATTGTTTCAGATACCGTAATCCTTTGTCTAGAGTTGACAAACGCTTCCGGGGTCTAGGTTCAGTTACACTGGTAGATTCGACGAGGCAACAGTCTGGGCCACGCTTTCTCCACGTCTCTAATGTATAATGGCTTCCTTCATTCAGTCAGGATCCTATCCATCGTTTGTTCAATCTCGTCTTTCACAATCTTTTCGACTGGATCATCACCGGGATCCGGGATTGCTCTTCGACTTAATATTTCAACTATCTTAACGAGTCCCCAAACAAACTCAACATCAGTAATCTACCCACTTCAGTTTTACGGTTCCAATACTTCACCTAATATTTGTTAGTGTGCAGGCCATGCTAACTGCTGACTGTATACAATGCCTTGCTCCCCTCTTTTTATGCGTTTTTGCATATATGCAAATTGCAAAAACGCATATTGGCAAAAGGCTGTCTGTGTGTTCGCACTTTTGTCACCCACTTTCAACTCGTGAACCAGAAAAGCTAGGAATCTGAAATTTTGGGAGGATGTTCCATGTCCAAGTGCAACTTGAATATTTCAATCTTCAGATCTGCGTAATTCATACGTACAAGCACGTGAAAGATTCGACGGGAAAATTGCTAACTCGGTAACCAGAAAAGCTGGAAGGCTGAAACTCCACGGGGATATCTCCTGTCCACTTGTAATTTAAAGATTTCAAATTCAGCTTCCCAATTATCTGGGATACCCACGTACGAGCATGTGAAATTTCTGGCGGGAAATTGCTAACTCGGGAACCAGAAAACCTAGAAAGCTGAAATTTTGTCTAAATACAACTTAAATATTCCAAATTCAGCCTTCAGATATGCAGGCACTTAAAAGTTTTGGCGGGAAAATTGCTCACTGAACAGCCAGGTTACTCTCAAAGGGAGACTGTTAAATAAAAATTGTTCATTTACTTTATGCGAAATTTATGGTGTTTTACGCTAGCGAGCACAAAAGGTAGGTGTGAAGCAACAACCGTTCATGAAGCTAATGATCTGAATAATTTAGGTCTAGTCCAAAAACGCATGATCGCATCGGCAAGCCTTGTGCGTTTCAGTCTGGAGTAACTTCCACTACTAAATTTTCTGTGGAGATGACTGCTGGAATGAGCCTGCGAAGCGTCGTAATTACGGCAGCTAATAAACAGCGTAGGGAATGTGATACGTTAGAATTTCTGTTTGAAAAGAAATCAAGAAAGAGAGCAGAGAAATGACGGTCAGAATCAAGAAACAGACAGCAAGGAAATGGCCGTCATAAATTCGTAAATATGCAGCAGAACTAAATAACTTCTGTATGTATATGGAATTTTCAGCGAGACTAACTGCTGGATAATACAATATCATTTAGGAAAACGACGAAAAATATCCAGCTGTATCGACAGTGCAGAGGCGCGTTACGATGAAACGACTGAAGTACCTTTAACAGTTCA